CTAGAAAAAGTAGGCGACTTGCTTTGGAATTAGTTACCAAAGAACATTTTGAATTCAGCTTTTTTCGTTCAGTGCTGTATCTTTGTAATATATAACACTGTATTACGTACTAAATATCTTTAGCCCACGTCAAATATTTTCAACAAACAATCAATTAGCGTAATAAAAAACCACAGTAACAAATTACCGTAGAGAAGCAGACTACACATTAAAAAAAAACAATAATAAGCCAAAAATGAAAACTTTAAACTAAAACTCTAAGATTTTTGAGCTTCACAATTGTGGTAGTATAGAATATCTTCAATAAAACCGAGAACGTTTTATTCTCAGTACTTTATGTATTCATCCTTTTTGTTAGGATACTTTTTCTCTATTTCCACAACAGTCAGCGTACCAAACACTTCCGTTATAATAATAAATGAGAACGGCAAATTGCGAATTATAGAATTTTTGAGCTACAAGTTTACATCTATTGAAAAAAATATAAAGCATTTCTAGTCATACATAGTTTTTGAAAAGATTATTAATTTCTTAGTTTTTAAGATTTACTTCCATGCATAAACTGTCTGTAAAAAAGAGTAAAATTCTATTATGCAGTGCTTTTTATTGGCATCTAGTTAAGAAAAAGCTTTTTCCTGTTGTAAACACTACTTCTTGTAAAACATTTATTATATTTGTCTATAAAGAGTTTCTTTTACTTTGAAACTTATCTGTGAAATAGTGAACGACAACGGCAAACCACAACTTTTTTCCAGTTCTTCGTAATAATACTGCAGCAGTTCGTCAAAATGTTGACATCTATCTGCTGCACTGAGTACTGATCCGAAATATGGCAACAAGTCATATGCAGCACATCCTTCGTCAATCAACTAAAACAAAAACGTATATAGTAAAAAATGTAAAAATATTCTTCTTACCAAACAAAAACTTGAAGCTACAATATAATTTTGTTTGAGTTGTTAGTCGCTGAAAAAGTTTAAATTTTTTTATCAGTAAAAACGAGACTTCACCTCTTTAGCGGATAGAAACTTCAAAAAATGTGGATTAAAGGTTACTCGTAGTTTCACTTGAATTAAAAGCTATTCTAGTAAAATTTTAACTGAAATTTCAAGTTTTTAAAAACAAATTTATTTAAATCATATTTATTCAGACCTGTCAGTCAATGATAGCAGCAAGTGTTCTGCTTTCGCCGTCATTTTTTCATATTACATTTGAAGACCATAGGTCACTATGGATTAGAATCAAGGGTAAGCTTTAGAAGACTCTTTTTTCTTTTGTAGGTAAAATTAGAGCAAAACTATCTTAGTTATACCACATCCTTCGCTTAAAGTTGAAAGGAACTGTGCATTTAGAACATTATCAAGTTTTTTAGACAGCTCTTTGCAAGCTGCTTTTCCCTTAGCATTGCCCGACTTTTTAAACAGTTTTATTGTTGTCGTGACCATCTTTTTTAAAAGCATTTTGATTAGAGTCTTGCTATCATAAAATCGGTCTAGCACAGAAATTTTCTCAAAAATGTCTCAGCAAAGGAATATAAAGTGTTTTATTTAATAACGTGCATTCTTTTTTTGCTTGTCTATTTCATAATTTTTGCAAGCAATAAGTTTTTCCGCCGTGCAAAAATATGATTATTTTTGAAAACGTGGTCAAAAAAATTAAGATAATTTAGAAAATTTCTTGTAAATCACTCATTTCCTTCATAAACTTGCAAAAAAACTGTTTTCCAATTTTAATTATTTGGGATGTTGTAGAGAGTAGCTGTGAAAAACTGCTATTTTTTTTATCACCTGAAAAAAATATCATTTATGATTTCGTTAGTTTGATTGCAAGTTACGCATCAAGAGAAAAATACATTACATTTTAAAAGCTTGTTTTAAAAAAGTCATTTAAAGCTAGAAGTTGTAACGACAGAGTACTTGTTTAGCTTCCTCAACTATCGTTTTTTCGTAGGCAGGTATTGTGAAAGAATCTTCTCCTAAATCCTCTATTAGAAAGCAGCCTTGTTTGCTATTGTCGGAGTACGGCTTGGCAAAATAAACCTCTAAAACTTTTATTTGAAACCCATACTGCTTTGCTGCATTGTAGAAGTCGACTTCTGAGTTACGCACCTAAAAATTGGAAATTTTACGATGTTTTGACACAGATAAAATAATTTTTAATAAGAACTTTATAACTTTATAAAAAATTCTTAGAAGCTATTAATATATAAATGACTTATCTGTGTAAGAAATTTTTCTAATACATCAAGCACAGACGGCTAATCTCCAAAAATGCCTCTTTTCCTGACATACCGCTTATCATTGATTACTTGATCTGCAGTTGTCAAACTTGTTATTTTTGCAATTAAAGTTTTAGGAAGATTTTTGTCATCCGGCTTCTAATCTGGTCAAATTCTAGCTACTTCAGATAAAAGAAGCAGTTTAAGGCACGTTTGAAGTTTTTTTGCAATTAAGTAAAGGTGAGAAAAAAAAGAAAGCTTTTTGAGCTCCGTTCGCTTCACTTTTCTTTCCCTCTTCTTTACCTGTGTTTGAAAGAGGAACATTTGCTGTTTTCTCAGCTTTCTCCCTCTCTTCTCCAAAGTGCATTCATCGGCCGCTTTGCGACGGAAGGGACTATCTGACGCCCAGTCAGTTTTGTAGACCAACCAATTTCATTTCCTTCCAAATTCAGAAAAAAATTGCAGAGCACCACCATTTTCCGTGTTTCCTATATAACTGTATGTAACCAATTCTAAACACGTTGCGCAGCAAGCCTGACACTAAAATGAGTACTTAAAATGTCTAATATTTCGAAATTTTTGAAGCTCTATAAACTTTTTCTAGATCAAAATTTAACATACAATCACATTGTTTTCTCAAAAAAACAAGCACTGTTTGAGTTTGTTACGACATTACAGCCAGCTACTTCTTTGTGACCATTTCAGTTGAACAACTATAAAAACAGCACTGAAAAAAGAAGCGTATAAACATTTTGTTT